CACACTTTCTACTAATACTAAAATAACATTGTCATAAGGGGAATGTAGATAAAGAGGTTCTGCTGCGTAAGCGAAAAATACAGGCGGAATTTGAGTACATTCTCGAAGGACTTTTTTAATTGGATTATAAATTCATTTCAAATTATATACCAACATCTGAAGAAGCCAAACGAACGTGTGAGCTTTCTTTATATCAATTGTTAGAATTATCTGTACATAATATAATATTGGCGAGAGACCCGAATTATTGAAGTTCTCCCTGGGGGCACTCAATTTCCGCTCGTTTCTTCGATTACGTGAAGACAGGGTTATCCATTTACATTCCGACATTTTTAGTAGATCACTGTTGGAACGTGCCAGATCCGCATTTTTCTGAAGACTCTGGCGACGATATGGTTACATTCTATTATGCTCTGGAAGACACAGTAAGATGGGAATGCTACATTGAACTCAATTGCCTCGTCAAAAGGTCTTTGGGTGTGATGACTTGAGTTTCGTTCACAGATAGTTATTGTGATCGTGTCCCCTACACTACACTCAGTGAGACTACATTATCCTCAGATCATCATTGGCGCTTACAGAATAACTTTGTACGTACATTGCCAGTACTTTCATCGCATCACTTCAAGCCGCTCCGTCAGCTCCCATTAAATTGTCTTCTTCAGCATCTTCTTGGATATTTCCAAGTACAAAATCCAGAAGTTCCAGATTGATTGCCTCCCCTCGGGAGAAAACGCGATCATGGGCTTGATATGGACTACGATTTTATTATCCTTTTTTTCTCTCCTACTATGGCTTCTACCCAAACTATATACCACGCGGAATTTTTTCACAAAATTGTCAGCTCGTGGTTTGGTAAGTTCCTTCCCTTTTCAAACGTGATCAGTTACACTAACATCTCCTCTCAGCCAATGCCACCCCATAATTTCCTTGTTGGCCATCTTATCGAGCTAGCCAATGTTATCAAAGGCTTCCCAGCAGATGCACTTAAAGTATACCTTTTCGCTGCTCTCGCCCGCAAATACTCCCGCAATGGTGCATTCTACCTTGATCTATATCCTTTCGCTGCCCCATTCCTAATCATCACTTCTCCGCTCCTCGCAAATCAAGCTGTGCAATCTACCCCGGTAGCATATCGCAAGCCTGATGCTCTGAGAACTTGGTTCTGGAGTATCGCCGGTGGCATCAGTATGTTTGATGCAGAATATGATGAATGGAAGGATCTACGAGGCCTTTTCGCCAGGGGGTTCAGCAACAAGTATCTAATGAATTTGGTTCCTGGTATCACAGATGAGGCTGAAATCTATACGGAGGGATTAAGAAAAAAGGCAAGAAGTGGGGAGATGATTGAACTAGATGGGATTAATTTGAGATTTATGATTGATTTGATTGGAAATACTGCTTTGTAAGTCAATTCAAACCGCTACATTCACTGCATACAAAGATGGCATGCGTGGAACAGGAGAGTCAAAATAGTCGAGTGAGACATTTTAACACAATCTAGGAACGCAAAGCTTAACGCGCAGAGAGGTTACAACCCTCTTGCAGATACCATGTTGAATCAAATCAAAAGTAAACTTGCAAATCAAGAAGTAAACCCTCTTCAATGGCTCAATTTCGTGCGTCCAATCAAAGAGTGGCGCAATGGTCGGAAAATGGATGCGTATATCAACGTAGAACTTGACACGCGCTTTGAAGCTTACAAGCTATCTAAGAATTCCGAAACAAATGGTCATTCAGACGAAGAAGAAGAACCCTTCAAATCAATCATTGATCTAGTTATCGAGGACTACATGGCTGATCCTGCTCGACTCAATGCAACCAGTCTTGACCAGGAATTCCGCACTATCGCTACCCGCAACATCCGACTCCTCCTCTTCGCCGGTCATGATTCAACCGGTAGTGCCATATCGTGGTGCTACTATCTTCTTTCTAAAAATCCTTCCGCCCTCGAAAAACTCATCCAAGAACACGATTCAGTATTTGGAACTGATACTACCGCTGTTCCGAAATTTATCAAAGGGGATTCGAATCTCATCAATCAATTGCCATACACAAACGCTGTCATCAAAGAAAGTCTTCGTCTCTTCCCACCCGCATCGAGTATTAGACAAGGACTGAAAGGTGTAGACTTGGTTGATGAAGAGGGAAATATATATCCGACTGAGCATTGCATGGTATACACGCTCCACTTGCCAATCCAACATGATCCGAAATATTGGGTACGTCCCAAAGAGTTTCTGCCCGAGAGATGGCTGGCACAACCGGGCGATGAATTGTATTGTGATACAAAGGGAGCATGGAGACCCTTTGAGCTAGGACCAAGGAATTGTATAGGGCAGGCTTTGGTCATGATAGAGTTGAAGATTATATTGTCCATGGTGGTGAGAGAGTTGGATGTACGAGACGCTTATGAAGAATGGGATAAGGAATTTGGTAACAAAAAGGGGATCAAAGAAATAGACGGAGAAAGATCATATCAGGTTGATGGAGGAGCTGCCCATCCTGCAGATGGATTTCCTTGCAGAGTGACGTTCAGAAAGGGTGAGGCATCGGCGTAATATTTTCTTTGTAAGACGTCGTTCTGAACATTTCGTTATTCTCTATATCCAGTGTTTCGAATGGGACGGATAGCAACTCGACAATCAGAAGCCTTGCATTATCGTACCCATCTAGATTTTTCAAAGGGCTTCAGATAATAGATCCACCTTGGAAGATAAATTGCTTTCACTAGATATTGAGAATTTATATATAATATTTCAGTCCGAAGTTATTGCATGTCTTGTTCGTGTGGTCCAAGGAGTTAGTTGAATATACATTTGAACTTTTTTAGTCTCGCATATTTCAATCGGACGGAAAAAGTAACTTTGGCACCGAGGCGGAAATGACATGCCCTCTATTCAGACTATGCATGATCACTGCATAACAATAAAGTCAAGGAATTAAAATTAAACAATTGATTATTCGTACTATCATAGAGTGACCGCTCCTGTCACTCTGTCTATCCATCCTGAAAATCCAAAACCATCTCATCAATATGACATGATCCGTGTCCAAATTGGGACAGATGACCAAAACTAAACATTATAATGTAGAGATTTCTGACACCAGACGGTCTAATCAACTTGTTCATCGGAAGACATAGCGCCGTCAACTTGTGCTTGGTACATCCTCTCCTTATCTTCCTCCGATGAAAGCAAGCTAGTCTCTCCATCCTCCTCAGTCTGAAAAGCAGACCAATGGCTCTGATGCGAGGAGTCATAGCAAATTTTGCCTCGACTCAAACTACGCTCATGTGCAGCATGTGGCTCAACGTTTCTCATTGAATACCTCCAGTCATGAGGCCCACTTCCTAGATTAGCCCACGTAGTGACTGTTGCAAAAACCCCTCGGCTGTCATTAAAGTCAAGCTCGAGACAGTATTCGGTGGGACAATCATCGCATTTCAAAGGTTCTCTTGTGCTGTGAGTTGGCCAATTGAAATCAGGATTGTTATTGGCCTTACCGGCTATCGTCTGCCATCGGACACATGTTGGTCTTGCTGGTATGGGAGTTTGTGATGCTTGAATGTGATGTGGAAGCTGTGAAAATGGCAGTGGTAATACTTCCGAGAAGGAATTTAATAGTCTTTTATTGCCCAAGTCCAAAAGCCGTGCACGCTCTGCGTTCAAAGCTATAGTGAGGTGCGCGCAAACCTCAATGTCTACGTGCCAAGAATCTTTGTCGACCATGAGATTTGAGAAAAGGACCGATTCCTGTCTACGATAGATCATCAAGCCTCGTGTAATCTTAAAATCTGTCCGAATCTGCCAAGACACACCATCACTATTATCGATCTCTGGAGTTGATGAATTCCTTGACAATATCTTCAACAGCTCATCGCATTCTGGCTTTAACTGATGACGTTTCATGGCCATTTTGAAGATAACACCAGAAACTTTGGCAGGCCTATGACTTAGAGATTTGAAGGAAGATAAAACGCACGGAGCCAATTTCTGGATCTGGCTTCTCTCCTTCACTGACCGCAAGCTATATTTTGCTGCATTTGACATACTATGTAGACGAAGACAGTATGGGCAGCCGATTTCATCCTCAGTAGCCAATAAATCCAGGAGTGCTAACTTATCTTCTTCATTCAAATCTTGGGTAGAATGACCTTTCAAACTATGATATACTGACTTACAAGATATGGAGAAAGCAGCTGCCGATATAGGAGGTAAGTAATCGCATATTGACAACCATATCTCTACAGGAAGATTAAAAGCCATTATGAAATTTTCTGATGATTTTTCGATATGATGAGATATCAATCCCAGGTGCCTGCTTGGTTTGGTAAAATGTGGACTGTTCGCTCTCTATCTTGATATACAAGAGGGATGTAAAGATGAGAATGATGAGCAATAGTTATGATTAAATGAACAGAAACATGTAAAAGGAATAGAGCCAATTGACCACCCAGTGGTATATTTGGAGAGAAATGAATAATGTAGAAAACTTGTGAGATGAGATTGATCCTGTGTAGGTCAAAGAATTATAAGTGTATTAAATAAAAGTTATAAGAAAACGGATATAAAAGAAAGATCAAGAATGGATGAAGAACGAAGGAAGAATGAGAAAGAATGATTGAAGAATTAAGAAGGAAGAATATTGAAGGGAGAAGGGAAATATATATGAAATGTAGGTAGAAGTAGATTTGATCTGAAAGATTTGGTCAATTGAATTTGTGCGCCAGGCTAATGACATTAGCTCAGCAGTCTCTGAAGTGTACTACCTACCTATTAGTGTTCGCTAAGTCAGAACTCAATCAATCATGATTTACCATGGAAAATTGTGACGTTCAAATTCATAAGCCTGAGGTGTCAAGGAATGCTTCACATTTTAGAATATTCCAATGATACTCACACACGCACATAGAGAAAGAGGAAGAGAGGGAGAGAGGGGAAGAGGAAGAGGAAGAGGAAGAGGAAGCCGGGAGGGAGACAGAGAGATGATAACGAATTGTCTTTGACAAACTTGCGTGATGGAATTGAAAGATGTGAAGTCCATGTCAATGGATTGAAGGTAACTTTACACTGTGCATGAGCGTGTCTCCCCCTGATCTCAAGTAGAATCTAGACGGGACAGAATTTGTATTTTTTCTGCTCGGAATCTGTTCCTCCTATTCCTATAGATCGAATCGATATACTCTCATGTTATCATTTGAATGACATGAGTTTCCTGTTCAGACAAAAATCCCAAAAGAAACCCATTGGCGAAGCGTTGGAAAGGAATGGTATCTGGGAAGGTTCAGAATATTTATCAGTACGAGCATGTCAGTCAAATGTCATGATTGGGAGTAACATAATGATCTTATCATCCGGCTTAAGGCATTTCTGTATGGTTTTCTCTTCGTCACCAGAATGATTCCCAAACGCCCTAGACTATGTCTCTTCTGTTTCATCGTGAACTTGATGCAACCTCATTTGTATGTGCGTGTTTATCATCTATTCATATCTGCCATGGGATAATATTCGATCCCGTGTGTGCCAATTTTCTCCCGATTTATAATTTTGACTCGTCATCGATCGAATCCATTAAGAATGTTCAAATTCCACCACCTTCACCGTCAGTCAGTAATCAATCACCAATCCAGGGCGTTTGCAACGTCTCACCGCTTCTAGCAGCAGCAACAGCAAAATTCTGCTTTGATCCAGCAATCTTCGCGGCCTCACTCCTTTGCATGACGGCTTTCCATTTCATACTGACGAAAAGAGCTCCGCCACCAAGAAAGGTACCAAGAATCAATCTTTGACGTCTGCGAATGTGAAGTTAGCACATGTGTACATTGGTAGCACTTGTCAATGAAAACGATCGAGTTGAAGATAACAAGTATCGAGTACATAGCAAGGCAGACGAGAAATGAAGGGAGACGGGGGAAATAAACATACAAGAAGAGGGCTCGAGCTGGTGGCGCCATTTTGCTGCTTTCTCGGGGGTTTGTCTTGTGTTGTATTGCTCTTTACAATTCTTTTCTTGTTGTTTTGATCTTTACTTGAATATGAATAATGAACAGGAAGATGGTTCCACGAATGAGTTGCGGGTGAGCGGATTGATGGTTGATACTTGAAATCGCGGATGAAGGAGACCTCGGAAGATGTGAAAGTGAAATGCCTCGATGTTGACCTCATAAGTTTAGAAGCTCGTACCACGATTGAAAAAGCACGCGGGCCTTGACCAATTCAAGCTAGTATCTTTCCTGGGCCCGTACTTACCCCAGAATTGGGAAAATGGACGAATGAGAGGGCGTGAAGCGTTAGAGATCAGGGATAACAGATAGATAAGAGATAATGATCAGATCACGTGCGGATCTATTTTCGCTTTACCTATATCAGCATCCACATGATATCATTTATATATTCATTATAATCTACCAAGTATGGATTTATGTATTGATATCGACAGGCAGATAGGCAACGTTCAATTCTTGATATCTATTTTCAGATAGTCTGCCTCCATGGCAGTGGCCCTCGGAGAGCCAGCGGAGCGTCATTTCATTTTGCAGCTTTGATAGCTTCTACACATTACGCAGCGTATAATGAATGGTTAACCACAGCTCATCTATTGCGAGATATACTAAAGCTTGATACTTTACGAGACAACGGGTGCTATCGAACGATTGAAACATCGACATACATCCGTTCGATAGATCTGTTCGATGGATCTCATTTGTACATATGCATCGCATGGTTTCAAACGCTCGGAGATCGTTCGGTCCTCTAGAGTGCCTCAAAGTTATATCATTTAAATTAATTAATATATTAGTTATTTTCATAAAATTTATTAATGATACATTGTTATAATATTTAGATATTTATTGTATATATTATTTGAATAACATTTTAATTGAAGGTTTATCTTTTTAATAATTTTATTATTTACGAAAACTATAGTAACGTAACGTATGGGGAACTCGGACATATGGGGAACTCGGACACTTTTAGCCTATCACCAACTTGAAACCGCAATAACTTTTATTATGCATACCCAATCACCTTCTACATCTGCTCAAATTGAAGAGAAGCTTCAAAAGGCTATAATTTCACTTCAATTGAAAGAATTTAAATCAATTAGAAAGGCTGCAGAGCATTTTGAAGTCCCTAAGTCTACCCTAGCTGATAGGCTGGCTGGGAAGAAAACACGTTCCCAAACCCACGAAATGGCTCAAATTCTTTCAAACGCAGAAGAAAATACTCTTGTACGATGGATTTCACGACTTACCATCACTGGATTCCCTGCTACACCTATGTTGGTGAAGGAAATGGCCGACGAAATTCGTCTTCGACGCGTTCGGGTCGCGTCATCTCGAAATCCTACCTCGACAGAAATTCCACCTATAGGCCACGAATGGATCTATAGATTCCAAAAACGACATCCAGAACTTAAAACATGCTATTCACGTCAATTAGAGTCTAATCGGGCTAAAGAAGCAACTCCGGAGAATATTCAGGCTTGGTTTGACGCGTTTCGCACGCGTCTTATTGAGCGAAAGTATGAATTAGATGATATGTATAATATGGATGAAACCGGATTTGGAGTTGGAAGTACTCAAAGTACGCGCATTATAGTCGATTCTACTCAGAAATCGAATTGGAAAGTTACAGCTGGCAAGCAAGAATGGATAACTGCATTTGAATGTGTCAATACAGCTGGAAATGCTCTATCACCTATGGTCATTTTCAAGGCTCAGAATACGAATTCTGCATGGATTCCAAAGGACACACCTCAAAGCTGGCAGTTCTCTACTAGTACAAATGGATGGACCTCAAATAGCCATGGATTAGAATGGTTAAAAAGGGTTTTCGAACCAGAATCCAAGAAAGTGTCAGGTGACCGACCTCGACTTTTGATCATGGATGGCCATTCAAGCCATATTACAGGTAGCTTTATTGCTTTCTGTATAGATAATGATATTGATTTACTTATATTACCTCCTCATTGCTCTCACTTGCTTCAGCCACTTGATATTGCGGTGTATGGGCCAATGAAACGATATCATGCTTTAGAGGTCGATCGATATTCTCGAGCTGGTGTAAAGCGAATCCAAAGAGCTGAATGGGTAGAACTCTTTCAAAATATTAGAAAAAAAGCATTGAATTCTTCTAATATTAAAGCTGGCTGGAGAGGAGCTGGTTTAGTACCTTTTGCCCCACGAAAAGTACTCGATTCATTACCATTTAACTCCTCCCAGCAACCTTCTACTCCACAAATGAGAACCCCCAATCAAGACCTAGACTTGTCTATACTCAGGAGTTCTCCTCCAGATGGAACAGAACTAAGGCAAGCAAATCAGATCTTTAATACAGCTCTAGCAAGCAGTGGTTCTCCTGCATCGCCAACTCGTCGATATGCCAAGAGAATGACTAGGCTTGTAGAATCTCAAAATGCTGAGATAGCCCTACTTCGGAAACAGCTCTCTGATGCTCAGGAGGTAATTGAGACTCGAAAGAAAAGAACTAAAGGCAAAAGAGTCAAATTACAAGGTCAATTTGTCTTTAGTACTAAGGAAGTATTGAAAATGGTACGTGAGGCGGAGGAAAAACCGAAGGAGAAAAAGCCACGAGGACGGCCACGCAAACGCCCAATTGAAGAATCAGAAGAAGAGATTGAAGAAGAAGAGCTAGAGAATAGTTCAAGTGATTCGGAATTGGAATTGGAGGATTGTGTGGCTCGTAGAACAAGATCGCGTGTAGAATAATTGAAAAAGTGTCCGAGTTCCCCATATGTCCGAGTTCCCCATACGTTACGTTAATTCTTATTGTTATTATTATTCTGTTGGTTTCACTTAGGGGGGGGGGGGGGGAGGTCGAATTCGAATTACTAAATAAAGCATTATAAAAGTCTATACAAAATGAATAATATGAATTGAAATGATTTGTTTTTAAATACAATTTTTATTTTCCTTATAAGGAAAAAAAGAATTATATAATTATTAACGATTCAGTAATTATATTAATATATTTAAATTTCTTTGGTTATAAGTATTTGAAAAGAAAGTGAAATAAATATATATATTCGTAATATTATTCAAACATATATTCAATCGATCTTAAATATATATTACATTTTCTATATATATACTTTGAAAGAAATAAATCTATTAATCAATATGATTTTACTTATTATAAATCTATCATGTAATATTCCGAAAATAAAAAATTATTAATTTAGAATATATTATATTTATTATTATAAAAAACTTAAAATATGACAATCTATATATAACCTCTACCTTTTACATATTAATAATTAGAACATTGAATTTAATATTATAAACCTTTTAATAGATAATATACTTATTATTAGTACTGATTATTAGGAATAATAAGTTTATGTAAATTGAGAACAAATAATTCAAATAAGCTAACTTTATAATCAAGGATTATAAGAAACTTATTTATAATTATTTATCAAAGTTTAATAATGTTATTCTTATACTTAAGAGTAATAATATTTATTTTAATTAGAAAAAGTAATATAAGAATCTTTAAATATTCATAATTGTCGAAACGTACCATCACATGCTTAAACGAATCATATGATTCTTCCCACTATATATATATTAAGAAGAATCATACCTTATTCTAGATTAATTTAATTTATATTATTCATTTTATATAGATTATATAATATTGTATATAGTGATTTAAGTTAACGACTCCTTCTTCCCAAATAATCTTGATACTAATTAATATTTACCTTTTTTTTTTAAAGATATTTATAAATTAGATTACTTTTTAAGGTTTTATATAAGATATTTATATAAAAATGAAAAAAATAATTTAAACCATTCGATAAAATATTCTTAAAAAAACAAACAAAATTGTACTAGATTATATTTACATATGATTTGTATAAAAGATTAGAATACTATATTCTTTATATAATTATATTTTTCTTTAGAATTAAACAAATTTATTAATTTATAAACTAGATTATTATATTTATAAAATTCGATAAATCGATAGTTCAATTTATATCCATTACTTTCTGTTTAGAATTTAATATGTTTTTCGAATTCGAAATTCTCCTTTATTATATGAAAAGAACTATTTTATTGCTTCTTTTTTTATTAAAACCCTTTTATTAGGCCCTCCTTTTTCATCTTATAATCCAAAACACTCTTCTTCATATAACTATTAAATTAAAGAAAAAGATTTGTTTATTATCTTTAATAAATCTAATCCATTTGACTCAAAAGGACAAAAGAAAAAGGTTATAAAGTTAAAGAGCTTATTATAATACAAATAGCTATTTAATAAAATAACTTCAAAATTCTATACGAATTCAATCTTCATTTATATTTTTAAAAAAAATATATTGAAATTGAAATCTTACAAACTTTAGATCGTTATTTCTTTATTAAGAAGACAACTCAATCTCCTATATTTCAAATTTTGTAAAGAAATAGAAGAAAGGTTTACTTCTATTTATTCTTATATAATAATTAAATCTCCCCTTTTATTCTCAATTCTTTCAAAATTTAATTAAATATGAATATCCTATTTAATCGAATTAATTCAACATCCTCTCTCCCTCTTCGATTGTTTTACTTTTGCAAATAAGACTCTTCCCCACTTATATGCAATTTCAATTCAATTCATTCTTTTCCCTTCCCCTCATTCTTAGCTTAATTGTAGAATAAAGGAGATAAGGAGGAGAAAGAGGAAGAGTGCTTTTAGTTTAGGTTAGTTTTAGATTTTGATGGGTTTAGCTAATACAATTCGCTCTTTATATTATATATTCCGAATTTTCATTATAAATGGAAATTCTATTTATATTTAAAATATACAATCATATACTTAAGCGAATCATATAATTCTTTCTATTATATATATATTAGAAAGAATCATACCTTATTCTAGATCATTTCAATTTATATTATTCATTTTATATAGTCTATACAATACTATATATGATGATTCGAGTTGACGGCTCCCCCCCTCAAGTAGTCCCAATAATAATATATATAATAA